GAGGGTGTTGTTAGAAATTATAAAGTTGATAGGTTTTGGAGTTAGATGGAGAAGTTGGATCTATGGATGCATTTCTTCTGCTAATTTTTCTGTGCCTTTTAAATGTAGTCCAATTGGTATTTTCAAAGCTTCTAGAGGGCTGCGTCAGGTAATCCTCTCTCCCCATTCCTTTTCACCATTTATGCAGAATGTTTTAGCCTTATGTTGTCAAGGGTTGAGAGTTTGGGTTCCTTTACGGGTTTCAAGATTGTAAACTCTAATATTTTTGTCTCTCATCTACAATATGTTGATGATACTCTTATTTTTTTTGATGCGGAGGCAGTTCAGTTGGAGAATATCGCTAGATTTCTAGAAATTTGCAAAGTTACTATAGGGATTAAAGTGAATTTTAATAAATCATCTTTAGTGGGTTTAAATTGTGCAGGGGAGATGTTAAACAATTTGGCTATGGTACTTGGTTGCAAAGTCGATTGTTTTACCATTACCTATTTGGGGGTTACCACTTTCAGATTCAAGATTTTCCATTGAGGTTTGGGATAGGATTATTGAGAGGGTGCAACTCATTATTGAGAGGGTGCAACTCAAACTAGATCTGTGGAAGCATAAATATCTATCCCTTGGGGGTAGGGTAACTATCTTAAGATCTTGTTTGGCCGACCTTCTTGTGTATCAGATGTTAGTGATCCAAATTCTAGGCTCAGTTGGTAAAAGATTGAGAAAATGATGAGAGATTTCTTGTAGGGCTCATCTGGACAGAATAGGAAGCTCCACTTGCTTAGATGGGATAGAGTCTGCACCCCTAAGCGTGAAGGTGGTTTGGGTATTCGTAATATTATAAAGTTTAATCAAGCATTGTTGTGTAAATGATAGTGGCGAAGCATTCATTTGAAGGACTATCTTTGGTACCAAGTTTTGGTTACTAAATATGGACTAACTACTTATGGTTTATGACTTGATGGTGCCAAAGAAAAGGAGATGTCTTATATGTGGAGAGCTATATCTAATTGTAGGCCTATGATCTCCGCTTACTTTAGATAGAATGTTGGAAGTGGGTCGTAGATGTTATTTTAGCATCACAAATGACTAGGTGACTATCCCTTGAAAGCCGCTTTTCCAAATCTATTCCAAGTGGCTTCTAACCCAAATATTTTGATTTGTGATGCAGTGGAAAGGAGTGGCAACCCGTTTTCTTGGAATATACCTCTCATTTATCAACGTTTAAGTAATTTGCTATGGTCCCAGTGGTGCTCGCTTATGGAACTTTTGGAGAACGTGTATATTTCAGACTAAGCAGAAGATTTGTTTATATGGGAAATTGAAAGTAATGGTATTTTTTTTGGGAAATCTTGCTATAATTTGTTCTTCCATGATCGGTGGAGATAGTCTTGCCCTAAAATTGCTCAAATTTGGATATGGCCAACTCCCATAAAATCCAAGTCTTTGTTTGGTTGGCCGCGCAATATAAAATTTTGACTATTAATAACCTTCAGAAAAAGGGCAAGATTCTGCCAAATATTTGTTTGCTATGTAAACAAGATGGGGAATCAATGACACATCTCTTGCTACATTGCCCATTTACCTCTAGATTGTGGCATTGGTTGATGGGTCTGATAGGAGTTTCTTTTGTATTGCCTCAAAGTGTAGTCGAGTTTGTTTATCAGTTTAATCTTCTTTTCCTCCCTAAAATTGGCAATGTGCTTTGGAAAATGACAAAATCAATTATAGTTTGAGAGGTGTGGAAGGAGAGAAATAGAAGAACCTTTGAGGGATCCATTCTGTCCTTTGACAAGTTAGTTCACTTAATCAAACTTTCTATTTGGTCGTGTCTCTCTATTTCCAAGGAGGGTTGGGGGATTTCTAAAGTTAATGTTATGGTTAGTCTTCCAAATCTGTTCTCTCTTGGTATGTATAGATCTCGGCCAAATGGGTTATGGTTTGCCCCGCCTATGGGGGTGCTTGAAGCTAAATTTTGATAGCTCTTTTGGGAATCCAAGCCCAGTTGGTATTGGTGGTGTTTTTCGAGATTGTTTTAGCAGTATTGTGCTTTCCTATGTGGGACCAATTGGTAAAGTTACGGCTAATTTTGTAGAACTTTGCACTTTACTTAGAGGTTTGGAAGTTTTCAAACCTTGGGTACTACGATCTTTATGGCTACAGGTGATGGATGCTTCTGTGTGTTTTTCTCTATCTTTCTCTCATGTTTACCATGAAGTTAATGGTGTTGCTGACGCCTTAGCCAGGGGTGATGTTTCTATTGCTTCTTTTACTATTTCCACTAATATAATTTCCTTTTAATTATCAATAACTTTATTAAGATTGGTCAAAAAAAAAAAAACAGAGCTAAAGGGAAGAGGAAGGTGGAAAAACCAAAGAGGGGTAGCTAACGATCCAAGACAAGAAGAAAGAGAAAGAGATAGCTAACAACTCGATTAGGAAGTTATGTAGGCCAGAGTAGAAGATCTTACTTCCTAAAAGGAAGAAATTCCTATGCGACTAGGGAAAATTGGCCTTCAACAAAGCCAATCATGTATTGGACGTTAATGACAAGAAGCAAAAAAGAAAAAAAAAGGTAAAAAAAAAATGTGTCCTTCAACAAGGTCTATCATGTCCGAGGTCTCTCCTACTCACAAAAAGAAAAAAACAGATGCGGAGGTAAGAAAAGGGGGCTGGAAAGCCAAGGGATCGGACTTTGGCTTATTAATTGATATCACCATAGCCCTAGGGATCGGGCTTTGGCTCCAGTGATCAGCGATCAACATTAAGATTGTTACATTTCAAGTTTGATTCCTAGCACTACAATATGAAAAGAAAATATCATTTTAGCCCGAAAAACAAAAATTTCCTACCTTATTAAGTAAATATGAGCCTTCATAATGTAATACACTAAGAAGAAGGGAATGTAATACACTTCTACTATCAAAAGGTATATAGATGAGTTGGACGTGGGGGACTTGTGATTTTGAAACATATAGTTGATTTTCGTCAACATGCTCAATAACTCTTTAAAATCCTCGTAAACCATGGCGTCATGAACGCTTTAAAATCTTATGGGCAAACATGGAGTACATGAACATTCAAAAACCAAAAAATGGAGTACAAGGGTACATGAACTTCTTATCATCATCCCAGTTGACTTATCCCAAATAGTTGGATGCAGCGTTTTAAAAAACGCCGTGTCGAACCCGGTTCGACTCGGAAATCGTGAAAGGGGACCGGATCGCCTAAAAAATTTAAAATCGTCCGGTTCTAGAGAG